TGCCTCGAACATAATTCATGCTTCAATTATAGCTTTGCCCCTTGATTCCACCACCAATTCGTTCGTATCTAATCACAAATTACTTAATTACATCAATAAACGCTAAATGAATCAATTTGAATGCAAAAAAATGAATTTTCCAAAGTTTTGCCCAAAAATTCCAAAATCGCCCTCGGACCCACGTGGTCAAAACCCGAGGTTCGAACCAAAACCCGGTTACCCATTCCCCCACGAACCCAAATATGTGGTTTTTTTTGAAATCGGACCTTAAATTGAGGTCCAAATCCCCAATTTTAGAAAAACCTAGGTTCTACCCAAAACCCCCAATTTCACCCATGAAAATCATTGATTTTAATTTGAAAACATGTTAAATGATGTTAATGATTGAAAGAAATGAGTAAAAATCAACTTACAAATGATTTGGAAGAAGTCTTGTTCTTGGAAAATCGCCTAAGTGTGTTTGGGCTTTGAAAGAATGGTGAAAATGGTTCAAAATTCGACTAAGTATGAAAAATGGAGGTTGCAGATATGGGAATTGCGAAAAAAAGTTTGGGAATTCCGAACTGGGAATTGCGAACAAAGTTTGGGAAATGCGAACAAGCCTGGGAATTGCGAGAAAAGTTTGAGAAATGCGAAGCCTGGTAATTGCGAATAAAGCTTGGGAAATGCGAACAATCCTGGGAATTGCGAGAAAAGTTTGGGAAATGCGAAGCCTGCAGGCCTGCAATTCCTTAAGTCCAAAATTTCACCCCGTGGCCTATCCAAAACTCACCTCGAGCCCTCGTGGCTCCAAACCAAACATACACACAACCTCAAAAACATCCTACGGACTTATTCGTGCGATCAAATCGCCAAAACAACATCATATACATCGAATTAAGCCTCAAAATCCATGATTTCTTCCAAATTTCATAAAACATCAAATTTTCATTTTAAGTCCGAAACACGTCAAACGACGTTCGTTTTCAACCAAACTTTACAGAAACGTCAGAAAGTGCTTAAATCATGTATAAGACTTGTACCGGGCGCCGGAACCAAAATACGGGCCCGATACCATAGTCTTATAATCAAATTTCATTTCCAATTTCCTTAATTATTTCCAGAAAATAATTTCACACAAAATTCATTTCTCGGGCTTGGGACCTCGGAATTCGATTTCGTGCATACGCCCAAGTCCCATATTTTCCTACGGACCCTCCGGGACCATCAAATCACGGGTCCGGGTCCGTTTATCCAAAATGTTGACCGAAGTCAAATTTATTCATTTTAATATCAAAACTTAGCATTTTTTACATAATTTCATATTTAAGCTTCCCGGCTACGCGCCCGGACTGTGCACGCAAATCGAGGCAACCCTAAATGAGGTTTTCAAGGCCTCGAAAGCACAGAATGAATAAGAAAATAAGTGATGACCCTTTGGGTCGTCACAATGTATTTTTATAAATTTTTAGATGCCTTGACTATTTATTTTAATTGTATAAATCTTTATTTCTCAAATTCAAAAAAAAGATTTAACTAAAACTTTATTATTGTTGGCAAAATAAAACTATTTATCCTAAATAATGTAGTTCTTTCCAAGATTTATTACAAATTATATTCGAAAAAGATTATCTAAAAAAGTAATTTTCTTAAAAAGGTAAAAATATATTTTATTTTTCAAAAAAATGCCGCATATACAGAAAAATCCACGTGGCNTGGTTTTCTTATCAGATAGAAACCAATCGATCGCAAATGGTATTAGAAGAGTTTTTCCTGAAGCTCACCATGGTATCTGACCTATATCACTTTGAGAAAAAATTTAAAGCAAAAGACATGCAAAGGCCATGGTAATAAATCTTTTTCAAAGTGCTGCAAGATCATACAAACGTGAAGATTTTAATCAGTTAATGTCCCAACTCAAAAGTATTGACAAGAAAACATACAATTACATAATGGAAGAGCCTCCTGAGAGATGGGCTCGATCGTGGTTCCCACGGCGACGTTATGATATGCTAAAATAAATAATCAAGGCCACCAAAATGTTATAAAAATACATGGTTTGAAATTAATTATTTTGGCTATAATTTTTAATACTCTAAATTATGGTGCTCTAAAAATATATTTCTATTTTATAGATTTTACCTGACAAAAGTAAAAATACACAGTTGAAATAAATAGTCATTCTATCAAAAGAAGAGATAAAAAGAGTGTACAATTGCAAAAAAATTAACTTACTCTATGGATACATTTTTAGAGCAATAAAAAAAAGAGCAGCTCGGTGCATTAAGCTCTCGCTATGTGCGGGATCTGGGGAAGGGCCGGATTACAAGGGTCTATCGTACGCAGCCTTACCATGCATTTCTGCAATAAATATTTTTTAGAGCAATAAGTATGTTAGAAATAATAAGTTATTTCTTGCAATTGTTCACTCTTTTTATTTATTCTTTTGATGCAATGACCATTTATTTCAACTGTATATTTTTACTTTTTTCAGGTAAAATATGTAAAAAAAAAAATTATATTTTTAGAGCACCATAATTTAGAGCTATATAAAAAATTATAGCCTAAATAATTAATTTCAAACCATGTATTTTTATAACTTTTTAGATGCCTTGACTATTTATTTCAATTGTATAAATCTTTATTTTCAAATTAAATTCAAAAAAAGATTAACTAATACTTTATTATTTTTAGCCAAATAAAAAAATTTAGCCTAAATAATGTAGCTCTATCCAAGTTTTATTATAAATTGTATTCGAAAAAAATTATCTAAAAAAGAAACATACTTAAAAAGTAAAAATATATCTTATTTTTCAAAAAAATGCCACTTATACAGGAAAAATCCACGTGGCAGGCGAGTGCACCCACACAATTTGCCACATCAGCGTCCAGGGGGGTAATGGCTATCAAAAGGCCTAGTTGAGGGGGATAATTAAGATCACGAATAGTTTAAGGCTGTAACTAATAATTCATGATAAGTTTAGGGGGGTGATAAGGTATTTTGTCTTTTATTTTTTTAGAATAAAATTTACATATATGAAAATGGCATAATAAAATATTATACACAATAACTTGAATAGACACATTCGAGAAAATTATAGTCCAACAATGGCCGTTTAGGCAACACCCCTCCTATTTTATCTAACGATATTTGACTAAGTTTTAAAAAATAAATTTAATAGACCTATATATAATACGTAGTATTGAATAACGGAAAAGGGATCCCTATCGTTTGATAAATGATTTATAAACACCCTTCGTCCATCTATCCGTTCAAAAAAATACACTTCGTTCATCTATCCGTTCAAAAAAATACACGAAGTTAATTCTATTAACAAAAATACCCCCACGACTAACGGCAGAACTGATGGAGTGTATTTTTTTGAACGGATAGATAGACAGAGGGTATTTATAAACCATTGAGCAAACGATAGGGATTATTGACCAAGAATCAAATATGGGTCTTATTTTGACCCATTTACCTGGTCCGACCCTATTTATTTGACCCGCCTAATTATTTTCTTTCTTTTTCTTTGCTTTTTTTTTTTCCTCTCTTTTTCCTTATCACCCAACACACTCACTCTCATCTCACAAAGAATTTTTAGCGTTTCTTTGTTGAAACAAATCTTTCTTTGTGTTTGAAATTATGGCTTTGGCTTTCACTTCATCTGCAATTCATGGCTCTTTGTCCTTCTCTTCTTCTTCTTATGAACATCCCAAAGGTAATCCTTTACTCTTTTTTCTACCTTTTATAGATTCAATCTTTATCCTAGAATGTGATAATTTCAAGCTTTTTAGCACCTTGATTTCAATTTTCTTATGTGCTTGTATCAGTTAATATGTAGTTGTTTTTAGTCTGTTATTTCGTGGCTCTTTTGTCTTCTTATGAACAATCCAAAGATTTCCATTACTTGTCCCTTTCAAAGTTTCAATATTTCTCCTAGATTTGAATGATAAATTTGAACAATTTTAGCATTTGGGCTCAATTTTTTTGTTTCAGATTTTTGGTTTGTTTTGATCCTTGTCTTCTTACTTAACAACCCAAATGTATCAGTTGATTTTCCATTTAAGAGTTTCAATACTTATCCTGAGTTTGATTGGAAAAATTTCAGAATCGGGTTTGAATTTCGGGTTATTTAATTTTGAATTTTATCTATTCTTTAATTAATTTGTTATTGTGTGGAGAAGAAGAAAGGGGGAGATCAGATGAGTGGGAATGGGTGTGATAGATACTACCCATTTTTGTAAATGGGTCGGATAAGGTAGATGGGTTGAAATAATATCCATTTTTTGTTCCAGTCAAATATTGCCACGCGGTCCAATTAAAAATCCCTATCGTTTGCTAAATGGTTTATAAATACTTTCCGTCCATCTATCCGTTAAAAAAAACACATTCCATCAGTTCTGCCGTTAGTCGCGGGGGTATTTTTGTTAATAGAATTAACTTCGTGTGTTTTTTCGAACGGATAGATGGACGGAGTGTATTTTTTTGTACGGATAGATGGACGGAGAGTATTTATAAACCGTATAGGGATAGTTTTGGCCCTTTTCCGATTGAATAATGCAGGTGCAAACCGTTTATTTGGTCGTTTCAGTTCAAGTTAAAATCCGAAGCTTAAGTCTAAAGAATTCTCTAAACTCTGGACTGTTTTTGTTTTCTTTTACATTGCACGACATTAGGAGCTCAAAATTTAAGCTCAAATTTATGCTTCTGCAATATAACATGGGGACAAAAATAGCTACTCCAAAACATCACATAAAAGTTTTGGTTAAAAACTCAAAACTCGATGGGTTGTTGAACTTGAATTAATTAGCAACTGGGCAATGTATCGCTTATGTTGAAACTTGAAAGTCTTCATTTAATAACCAACTCATTTGCAGAACTTACAGCACATTGCAACTCAAAAACCAATCCGACAATCTGCTAGAAAGAAGCCGCTGAGCACATTGCACATCATTTTTACCGATGAATTTATAGCCAAAGTATAAACAACACAACCAAACAATGTCAATCTAACCAATAGATCAAAAATCCAAATTCAAGCCATTCCATTATATATAACCAACCAAGTGCTCAATGACAAAAGCTTATCAGTAAAACCAGAGAAAAAAAGCAATACAATGATAGAGCATTGACCATTACAACCTTCTCCTCAAGTAAACAGCAAGCATGACTTCTTAAGAGCCACAATTATGTAGAATACTATTACACTGCAAAAGTTCCAACTCATCATAAGGGTGATAAAAGAGACAATGGGGACTGATACTAATGGCAAAAAAGAGGTCCAGAAATCAACCTACCAATAATATGCCTAGAGACCTTGCTCAACAAGATAGTCACCAAGCCTTTCAACAATCATGTTGCACTGGCCAGGAGTCATTGGCTCATCATATATTCCAATGATCAAAGCCTGGTTGGTCTTCTTAATAGTGATACCACCTGGACCCTGAAAATAACCAAGCAGAAAGCCAAGATGACATTACAATGAATCCAAAGCAAATCGCCACAAAGAATATATATATATATATATGGAGAAAACAAAAACTTGCATTGAATAATGAACATTAACAGAAACTGAAGGTCCTCAGCTGCTCTATTCTCAAAGGAACTCGACAAGTACCCTTTATTTCACTACTATCACCAAAAGATACCAGGATGATAACTAATTATTTAACATTCAAGGGAAATCTGTAGATAGCTTGTATCACTTGGGAAAAGGGATAAAGATTTGTTCAACCCAGCAGGTCGTTCAAGCATCTCAAGGAGGCTCAAGTGAGTTATGGTGTTTCCATGCCCGCTTTAGATAAGATATGTATGCAAGGTGACTAATGGGAGTTCAAGCTTTAAAAAAACAAAGATCATGTACCTTCTTCCCTCGGATCACCGCTCCTGGCTCTCCCTGAATCACCATGTATTTTGTTCCCCCGAGATATAAACCAGTTGGAGCAAGTGTTCCAGGTTCCGCAAAGTCGTTCATTATGCCTGTTATTTCTTCTGGCTTGAACTGCCATAATACATAAAATCAATGAGTTCACAAATATTCCAATAATAGACAATTTAAAAAACACAGGCGGTTATGTCCACCATCCCTTCTTTACTCACCACCCTTCCCAGGGAATGGTGGTGAGCAGTTCAGAGAAATGAAGAAAAAAGATCGCAAAATGAAAGAAGAGAAAAGAACACCATTTCAATTTTCTACATAACAGCATCACATTAACCACACTTATAAGATGCAACCGTCACACACTAGCATAAAACAAGTGGAGAACAGCAACCGTAAAAGCTAAGTTTCTCAATTACTTAGCTAAAGTGGTGTAGCTGTAACCTGAAACTTCAGCACAATCAATCAGAAATTATATCCCCTTCCTCCGATCCCCATTGTTTCCAGCCAAAAAAATCTCTTCCTAAGAATCTTGAGGTTTATTCAGACTAGACCTCTTAATAAAAGTTTAACTGGAGAGAAATAGTCATTGAGTTATCCCTTTATATTTTTTCTTCTTTGGCTTAGTATTCTCTTTCACGTCAACCTTCTTCTTCTTCTTTGGGCCACTTGCTCCCATCTTCTGGTTTAGCCTTTTCAACTAGGTAGGCTCACACCATTCTCTCTTATTTTTTGACATGTTGTTCACCAGACTACACTCCCTTATCACACTCTCCAAAGAAAATATAAAAACTGGAGACGGGTTCCATACCATGTTGGATTAGCACACAATTGTCTGCTCAACTAAATATATGTGGATCTCTCACTGATAGGATCAACTGGAGTGAAGCTGACAGAAGCTTTAACAACTAGAAAAGTATGGGGAAAATGTAAAGCTTGAAGCTTTCTTAACCTATCACTCCAGGTAATTCCTCTCCATATTGCATGAGGTTTTACATCTCAATTTTCACAGAGAAGGTCCCAACCCTGTAAACTTCCTGAATTTTATAACGGTGGTGTTTGGACCAGCTAACCGGACATTGACTATTCCACCAGATCCCTTCTACCCCCCAACCAGTACAGAACAGATACCAAGAGTTAGTTACTCTGCTCACCAAGGCTTGGGCAGGGGGCGGCCCAAGAAGATTGGTGGCCTAAAGCCAATTTTTAATCCTTGGCCTTTCAGAAGGAAAAAAAAAATTCCTCTCTATTTTTAATGGAAGTCTATTTTCTATCTTTTAAGATGTGAAGTTGTTAATAGTTTCTTTTATAAATAATTTAATCTCTCCTAAGATATTGGTGATCTTAGATAATAGAACCAAATTCAAGAAGTTTATAACTTGATATCGAAATAATTTTTGATGTTCTAATATACTTGTTGGAATGCTTCAAACCGTGGGGGGGGGGGGGGGGGGGGTAAGGGGGAAAAAGTAAAAAGTGTCGCGAATAGTAGTTAGTTACTATAGTCGTACTCTACTACTTTCGTTTTANTACCCGTTTTTTGATGAGAAAGATAAAAAATAAGACTTGGACTATTGAAGATACCAAAAAAACGGATTCTGAAAGTTTATTACACGTTTTAGTGAGAAATGTAAAAGGAGAATAATAATATAGGTACCTCACTAATGATGTCAATCGTAAAATTTAAATAATGAAAAGTTTTATATTCGCGACAAGGGTTTAGGGAGAGTGATTCTCTTTCTCCAATTTTTGCTTAAACGGTTACATCAATACTAAATCAAAAGTTATATTTACTTTTTATAAATATTTTTTTTTTTATTTTAACATACCCAATATATTTAGACCCTACCTCTAAAGATTGTTGTGAGATATATATGATCCAACTTACCTTATATTGGGTTCGAGTCCTGTGATTAAAATAAATCCTGTTAAAATGTGTTCTCTCTTTTACTAGGCCTTATGCAGTACGAATCTAGATTAGTCAGGGGCTCAATACAAATACGAGTAGAAAACAAAAAGAAAAATTTGATGCCCTCAAAATTTGGGGGCAGCCCTTGCTTTAGTGGCTTGACCCTTGGGCCGCCCCTGGGCTTGGGTGGGAAGAAATCATCTTGGTTTTCTTCTATAGGTTTAAAGCACCTAAAGGGCATTAGAAGAGCCAAATAACCTAATATTCCTTCCTAGCGCGCTTCCAAAATTCTGTGTGAACTCAACTTTTAAATATTTTTTTGCTTACTTCCACTTCAATAATTTTTTTCTATATTCTTAATTAGAACCACATTCAGTGTTCAGTAAATGGATAGAATCAACATAGATATTAAACAAAGGAAACTTATATCCCAAGAGCAAACTAGGCTGAGGTACACAAATATCAGTCAGCTACTCCTCAATCCCAAATTAACTGAGGTCAACTATATGAATCCTCTGTATGACTATCCACTCGGCTCTGTTCAGATCCATTTCGTACCAATAATAAATAATCATATAAATTACTCTATTTCTCCTTTCTTTTAACCCAACGTCTGTAAGCTACCCCCAATAAATAAATAAATATCACAATTTTTTTTTTCATTCTAGTCCACCTAATATGCAATAATTCAACAAAATACTCAAAAATCTAGATAAGAAAAATCTGAACTGCTTGAATCTGAGTAAGAGCAGAAAAGAAATGAAGCCATATGAAATCTAGCAAAATTGGAAGTGGACATAGAAAGGAAACCTGAGGAAAATTGGCGGATTGAGCCCAAACGGTGCCGTCTTGACCAATAATAGCAGCAGATGTGAGATGGTTACCTTCAATCTCACACAGCAAGTGGTCATCTACATATGTTTGCCACGACATTTTTCAGTGATTCACCTAAGTTTCTTCTTCTTCTTCTTCTTCAAAAGTTGCTACGAATCCTAGATCTATAGTTCAGTGAGATATTGTTTGTGTACTTCTAATTGAGAAAAAATAAGTGAAGAAAATGGGTTGATAAATGTGATAATGGCTTTTCTAGAAGTTGCGTTGAGGTTAAGCTGAATTTAATTTCTTCTTTAATAGTAATAAATAGTCAATTTCTTGTCTTTCTTTCTTTTTTCTTTTGGTGTGGAATAAGACTAGAAGATTCGGACAACTATAAAAATCTCCTTTTGACTTGAAGCGGACACTTTATTGACATATCATGCTAGAATTGTCTTAATTTGGATTAATTTAGAGAAATTTCACAAACTATTATTGTTTAGTGGTTATTAGCTAGCTATAATTATCATTTACTAAATTACTTCTTATAGCTATATTTTTGGTTATTATAGAGTGTATCGGATGTATTTAAACTACTGTTGAATACAGTAGCAAAACTCGGCGTGAAACAGGAGAGTCTAGCTAATCAACAATTATATTCGATTGTATTAAACTGTATTCGCAAGCTGTATTTGTGAATACAGTAACGTAAACTGCGTAAAAATGGTCTTTTCAGCTGTTTAAAACGGTAAGTGAATCAATTAATGCAATAGACTTCTAATATAACTCAACTAACTCAATTATAACACGCGCAATATGTATTTCACGTTAAAGAAAAGATTTCCCATTCAAAAAAAGACCACAAAACAGAACAATCTCTAGATTTTCAATCCCTCCTTTTTCTGTTGCTATTGTTCTGTAGATTTTCAAAAATATGTACTCATTTTAGATGAATACATGTATTTGGAATACATAACATATTCATAAGTACAACAGTGGAAATTTTGTAAATACATCTAAATACAACTAAATACATCTAAAAACAAACAATGAAAGTCACTGTAATAATTATTTATCAGTAAAATACAGATGTGTATTTGAAATACATAATACTTTCATAAGTACAACAGTGAAAGTCATCTAGATACATCCAAAAATATCTAAAAACAAACAGTGAAACTGTTGATTCTTTCGAAAATTTCTCAAATTGGGCTTGTTTCGATGTGTCATTCCGCAACTGTAATTGTTGTTGAACCTGCAAATACATGTTCCGCTTGAGCGTTTGTTGCAACATGTCGTAGCCAAGCAGGCGTGTTGATTGTTGCAATTTGTTGTGTCCCTTCTACATTCTCCTAGTAGCTTATGAAAAAGTTGATGATAGGATTAAATGACAATGCGTGCGGCTTGGATTTCCTTCAGATTTTGTTCGCTAGATGTAATAATAGATTTGTGACACATCTAGTCAGGAGGATCAAGTGCAGGCAACTTGGAATTCTTTTGGGCAAGAAATTCTGAAAATTGAGATGAATCAGTTAATACTGGAGGTTGTATTCGTGGGGAAGATACTGGGTTGGGAAAGAGATAGTGGAAAGAGAACGTGAATTTAACCAAATTGTATACAATGCCGTTGGGAGAGAGAGAACAGAAAGTATGAGAGAGAAAAATATTTCACAACATATTTAATGACTTAACAGTAGGAAATTACCATAAATAGATAATTTGCTATAAAACATAAGAGGTAGCTATAGGATATAATTTTATAAAACGGTATTTATTTATAATAAATAAGGTGTAAAGGTTTGCTATAGGAGGTAAAAAATCCATTAATTTATCAATTTTGTACTCCATCCCTTCACTTTTACTTGTCTAGTATTCTAAAAATAGATTTTCACTTTTACTTATTACGGTTAGCATATCAAGAGAATACAATTTCTTATATACACAGTATTAATTACTCATTTCAAATTATTTTCTCAAATTCATTAAAAATATACATCATGATAAATTATGCACTTCATTTATTATTTCTTAAGGAGCGTGTAAAATTTATAATGAACAAGTAAAAGTGAACAGAGGGAGTACTACTAACTCTTTTTCGATTAGACAATGAGTTTAAAAACTAAAACTAAAAAATATTTTTTATGTGATAAAAAAATAGTGCATTTTGTACATTAAACATAACCAGGATTTGGAAGGGAAAAAAACCTGAGCGATACTCATGAAATTTTCTCCTTTTTACTTCTAGAGCAGGACGAAATCTAATCGGTGAAAGTTATGTGAATTATATACATTAAATTACATAATTCACATAGATTATAGGTTCGAACCGTAGAAGCAGTCACTAATACTTACATTTAGGGTAGATTGTCTACATTACACCCCTTAGGGTACTGTCTTTCTCCGGACCTTGCACGAATGCAACTTTGTGCACTAAGCTGCCTTTTTTTATTTACATTAAATTAGAAAGTCAACATGAAAAGTAAAGGTGGATCCAAAAATTTAATTTTATCGGCTTAAAATTTCGATAAAATTACCTTATCGAAGGAGGGGGATGCCGAAGGCAAGGCCATCGCTCAAAATTTTTCAATAATATTAGTGGAATTTTCAGAAACCACTATAGGTTAGAGGATATTTACTTGGCACAACTACAATTTCCATATTTACTAGCCATATCAAAACATACGTTGCCAGGAGTCTATATTTTCTGTATTCGTACGCGTAGGATAGACTATATCAATGAATACATTTTTGGTGTATTCCGATGTATTCGATTTACAATATTTAATGCGGTTGAATTAAAAAAAATACAACAGTATTTGGTTGTATCCAATTTGCTATATCCATTCGTAGTTATTTTTTATTCAATTCATTGTATTCGATTCGGCTGTATTCAAACAAAAAAAAATCAAAAAATACAGGTGAAAATACAAAAAAGTCTCATTTGAAAAATAATAATATATACAAAAATACAAAAATATACAGTGTATTACACTCCCAAAAAATGAATACACTCTAATCCGGCCAGATCTGAGAAATACAGGAAATAAAATAATGGTTGTAGTCGTTCGCATATAATGGATGCATTTTGGATACATTCAATACAACATATGAGAGATTGGATACAAGCTAAAAAAATGCATTCAATGTTTGAAAATCGGATATAATTATCAAATAGCTCAATAATACACTGTATCAAAAAGCAACAACACCGATAAATAAAATCAAATACAACTAAATACAACTACATTCTCAATGTATATAGGCAGAGAAGAGAAGAAAGTTTGTCGGAGATGGCGTTTTTCGGCCAAGCAAAACATTGTGTATACTGTAATTATAATCAAAATGGAGAAGAACAAAAATTCGGTCAGATATGAGAATACACGAAATACACTCTATTTATCATTTGAAAATCCGGCGATATGAGAATGTAGCTTCCAGGCTTCGCTCATTAGAGACGAACTAAAACCCAACCAGATCTAAGAATACAATGTATTCTGTATTTACCATTCGAAATCCCGTCAGATATGAGAATATAAAGTATATACTGTATCATTGTATGTGATTCCATAGCAAATACGAGAATAAAGTTCGTCTTCTGGCCAAGCAAAATATTTCTAAGGATTAAAGAGCTTGAACTCCTTTCAGCCTTTGCAAACTTTTTTCAAGATTTAATTGTTGCACCTTTAACATGTGATTCATAAACTCGGATCTGAAAGATCATTCACTATAGGCATACATTGGCCAATGATGGCCGTTCGCCAGAGATGATGAAGCTTTACTGGTGAAATAGCAGTGTAACGACCCGACTGGTCGTTTTGAGCTCTAGCACGTCGTTCAGCGGTTTGAGGCCTTGAGTAGCTTCACTTCATGGTTTACGACTTGTACATGTGGTTAGAATTGAATTTCGAAAGTTCGGAGTTGATTCGGAAGGAAAATTCTCGATTCGGAAGCTTTAAGTTGGAAGTTGACCAAGGTTTGACTTTTGAGTAAACGACCTCAAAATCAGGATTTGAAGGTTTCATCCGTATGATGATTTCGGACTTGGGTATGCATTCGGCTTGAGTATCGGGTGGACCGGGAGCATTTCGGCGCTTATTGTGGAAAGTTAGCATTTTGAAGATTTTAGAATTTTCTAAGTTTAATTGAAGTGGACTTTGATGTTATGAAAGTCCGTTTCGGATTTCGAGCCTTGAAATAGGTTTGTATCGTGATTTGTGGCTTGTACGTAAAGTTTGGCATCATTCCAGAATGTTTAAGTGTAATTCGGACGCGTTCGTCAAAGTTTATAAGTTTGAAAGTTTAAAGAAAGGTTTCGATCGTCAATTCGTAGTCTTGATGTTGTTTGGTGTGATTTGAGGTCTCGAGCAGGTTTGTATTCTGTTTTGGGAGTGGTTGTTGTGATTGGATGGGGTCCCGGAGGCTTCAGGTGTGTATCGGGATGGTTTTAGACCATTTTCCTTTATTTTGTGATTGGTGGTTTCTGGTGTCAAGGGAGTTGTAAATTGGCTTGCGATCCTGCATTGAGCAGGCTATTATCGTTGTCTTGTGGAAGGGTGCTATGTCGTTTCAGCCTAGTGCTAGTGTTACCTAAGGTTTTGAGGCTATGCACAGTGTGTTATGATTTTCATGCGTTGTTATCGCGCATTGTTGGTGTAATTGGTAGAGTGCTTATTTATGTGACGCGGTAGTGAATGACTAGAAAGAAGGATACTCGGTTCATGGTTTAGAAGCTCGACATTTAATTCCGGCGAAGGAAATGCAATCAGACTATGGGTGTTCAGGCTTTGGGTGACGGAGTACCAAGACTTGATATTTTCGAACGTGGTGGAATTCTCATTTTTTGTGTAGTGTCTTTGTCCTTGTTGGAGCGCATTAAGGCTCATCGGTGTTATGGTCTCCTTTGATTTGTCTTTGGGATAGGATGTTGTGGAATGGTGCCTAAGCAACGGTTATCAAAGGTGGCGGTGTATGGCGGTTTCAGAGTCGAATCGGTATTTCTAATACTGATGGCTCGAGGAAAATGATACTTATGAAGGCTTAGAATTTGTAGCAATTTATTAGTTTGAGTGCTACAGAGATGGATTACGAATGGAGGCAGTATTTGGGTAGCGAAGTATGAGGAAGGACATGGTGGGAGGTGTCTCGCTGAGGTTGAATTGCTAGAGGTCGAGAAGTTCGCTCCGGAAGATGGTTAACTCAGAGTGGGAATGTTAGCGTAACGTATGGTTTCTGTGGTAGGATAGCCACATGCTTTGAGAAAGTTTAGAGCTATTTGGGGATCCTGGTGGATAATGACTAAGTATGCGAATTACATTTGGGATGGTGGCTACGGTACTAT